TGCTGGCAAGACATGAAGGTGTTAAGTACCTTAAAGGCTCCGTAGCCCTTTGCAGGACCTGGTCCAAACATGAAGATCTACAGCAGAAAACTGTTTTACTCTGGGGTTTTTTGCTCACTGGGTGCACGTTAACTTCAGTTGCTGTGTTGAAGGTCTTGCACAAGGTGTACTCCTAAAATACAGCAACAAATACGCTGTGCAAATGCTTTTGCTGAGTGAAGCCACATTGCGTCTTTCTTTCAGAAATGAATAAATAAAACACAAATTGCATACTGAGACTATTCTGCTCCCTTCCAATCCGCTGACCAGTCAAGCACAATCCTCAGGCACATCCAGGTTCCCTCTCCCAGCACCTCAGCGCTGCGCAGTGCTTGCGGTGCACAGACAGCAGGGAGCAGCCTGGCTCGGGGCCTCTGGACATTGCTGCAATCCACTCTGAATCCATGCCTTGGCTCTCGCTCAGTGCACAGCTCCAGGTTTTAAGGCGCTTTCTTCCAGAGCTGCTGCTGCTGCACTGGCTCCTACAGATCCAAACTGTGCAGGTTGTCCCTCATGGTGGCCACAGGTCCCAGGGCAGGACTCGTGTGCCTCGAGGACGCTCAGCCTGCGGAGCAGCCTGGCTCCCTCCCCCTCTGCCCACAGTGCTGCAGACACTTTCCCAGGAGCTACAAGACAACCAGGAGAAGAACAGGCATTTCACAGCATGGCCCAATTCACCTCGGGAGCAGCTCACACCCAGTTTGGCTCTGAGACAGAAGGATTAGTCCAGTCCCAGGAAGGGGCAAGCACCCAGGGCTGGTCTCCTGCCGCTTGCTGCTACAAGTGCCTCCTTCCAGCCTGGCTCTGCGGATGCTCAGGCTGCTCTGTGCTCTGCCAGGGCTCTGCTGGGGCTCAGCACTGGGCACGGCTGGGCCCACCCTCACCTCACAGTGCTCTGACAGCTTTGCACCAGACAAGCCTTTCCGAGCACACCGACTGGTCTTTCTGCTCTTTCAGCTGAGTACGACTCTCCTCCAGGCCAAGAGATTGCAGTTAGTGATACAAATCCAATTGGCAAGAACCGAAACACTACACAGTCCCAGCTGAAGGCCTGTTTCTCCACAGGATGTTTTGCCTGTCCCACTCTTCATTCCTTTTTGGTTGGAAATGCAATTGCACTTTCTTCCTCTTCTAGAAATACCACGACTGAGCAAAAACTGGCGAGTGGGCCGTATTCCCAAGGCAGTGCAGTCTGGAGCTGATGAATGAAGGAGACCCTTCTCCAATTCCAAACCGTACCAAAAAGCCATAAATGGGACTTCCCCTCTTTAAGAAAGAACTGACAATTTAAAAGTGAATGTACAGCTTATTCACAGGGTGAGAAGGAAGGGAATCTTCCAACCAAATTTGCTTTACCTTGGAAACAACTGAGGCAGCAAAGCATTTTCTGTCATTACCTCTCTGTCCTTAGCCCCATTTCATCTTAAAAATAAATTAAGGAGCCAGAAAGCAGGAAGAAGACAAATAACTTTTTACTCCTTGAGGAACTGGGGTGGTCCTACTACCATGACTGTGACTGTTGGTTTGTTCATCCATCCATCTGTCCCGCAGCACGAGAGTTGAGGTTTTATAGAGTCTGTGTTCTCAGTTCTGCTCTGAGCTGGCAGGGCACAAAGCCGACCCGAAGTCCTAGCGGCTGCTGTTCTTAATTGCTTCCTTCGCTGCAATAATCAGAGGAGTGAGGCTGGAGAGTGGCTTGGCTAATTTTAAAAATGGATGCTGTCCAAAGGGAAAAAAAAAAGGAAGGAACCATTACTTTCCAAACTCAGTTCCTCACAGGCTAGAGCAGGATCCCACTGCGTACAAGAAATATGCAGAAATAGGGCTGAGGAGACTATCTGCACCTCTGTCTTCCTGTCCAGGACTTTGCTGTCACAGGCAAACATGGCCCACGATTCTGCTAATACATTTAGCCAGGTGTCTTTCAGCTTGCTGGGATTTTTGCCCTGTCAGTGCTCTGGGAATGCTGCTTGCTGTCCTAGGGCTTTGTTCCTTTCAGAAAACTCTAAAGACTCACTTAGGTTCCCCTTTTCAAGCTGGGCCCCTCTAAGGCCCACAGTGAGCTCCCCACAGCCTCTTCCTTCCCACAGACACATCTCTGACCACTTGGCTGGAACAGCTTTCATTAGGTTCCTCCTGCACCAACACATGTCAGGCCTCTGCACCTGCTATCATCCTACTTCAGTTCTTTTGTCACCAGGTAAAACTGCATGTTCCTCCAGTACAAAACTTCCACAGAAATGATCAGAGGATAGAACACCTCTCCTCTGAGGAAAGGCTGAGCAAGTTGGGGTTGTTCAGCCTGGAGAAGAGCAGGCCCTGAGGAGACCTCACATTGCCACTCTTCAATACTCCAAGCAGCTTGTAAGAAAGTTAGGGACATGTTTTTTAGCAGGGCCCGTGCAACAGGACAAGGGGGAATGGCTTTCAACTAAAAGAGGGTTGACATATATTTAATCTAATTAAGAAATTGTTTACAGGGAGAGTGGTGAAACACTGGCACAGGTTGCCCAGAGAGGTGGTAGGTGCCCCATCCCTGGAAACACTTGAGATCAGGTCAGATGGGGCTCTGAGCAACCTCATCTAGTTGAAGATGTTCCTGCTTAGTGCAGGGGAATTGGTCTAGATGACCTTTAAAGGTCCCTTCCAACCCAAACTGTTCTAGGATTCTATTTAGTTCTCATTTGAAAAGCACCAAGACTGGAGATCAATCTGAGGGAAAGCTGCCTGATGCCTTGGAGTTTATCTGACGGGGAAGCCCATCCCTCAGACAGCTGTTTCAGCTGCAGTTACCTTGTACCTTACCTGCAGAAGCTCCTTGGCAGACCCTCGCCTGTCCACATCCATCTCCAGGCAGCAGTTGAGAAAGTCTCGAAACACAGCAGACAGTCGCTCAGGGTTCTGCAGCTCTGGTGTCCCATTTGTAGCTATCAGATACAGCGCCTGGAGGAAAAGGGGACAGAACACTTTCATTCATACCCACAACTGCTCACACAGACCCCAGTTTTTAAGCTGCATTCTGCAGTGGCAGCCTCTTCCCTGGCAGAGGGCTGGAGATTATTTTTCTATACCAACAAAAAGAAAGTCCTGATGCACTCACAGCTATTCCAACATCAAAATGATCTTGCCTTGACAGCTGATTTCATTGGCTGACCTAGTTAGTATGAACTACATCAGCAAAATCACATTTTGCTTCTCCAAGTATTGACACCAGCTTTACAGGTCATTTTAAAGAGTCAGTGAGGTCTAAATATATTATTTCAAAGGATTATTACATAAACTGCATCTCCGCAGTGCTCACTGGTCCCTAAAGAACAGCTTCCATTAAACAAAAGTCATCAAGGTTTTTGCTCTGTTCTTGATAAAAAACCAGTTACTGGATGAAAAAAAGAAATCCATCAGCTTATTCCTTGGATAAAGAAACATAAACATTAGGAACCTCATGTTCAAACAGACATGTTAACTTGCATGCACAAATATCACACGATGAAAAGGCATAATTGGGCAGACAGGAGCCACCTGCAACTATGTCTTTCAGCAGTCTCTAAATTCCAGATCAGCTTCACTTATGTGATAAAAGAAGCACTTTTAACGGTCTCATCAGAAAAAGGACTAATTCCACCCCTATGGTAACCCTTTGCTCATTTTGATACTTAAGTAAACACAGTCATGATGTGTCCAACCCAGAAACTGCCAGGCAAGAAACAGGTTTTGGAGGTTTTGGCAGTTGGGTTAATGAAAGCTCAGGCTTGGTAACATGGAGAAAGTTGCTTGGGCTGTGAAATAGATATGTTCACCAAGTATTTCAAGAAATCTAACAACTACTACATGCCATCAGCTAATAAACTCTGCTGTAAAAACCAGTCTTGCTTATAAGCTCTCCTGTGTGGAGGCAGCTGAGACCTCTTACAGATATTCCTCTCAGGAATATCTGACTGAATTTGGTTAGAAACAGGAAATCCAGTTATCTTACTAACAGTTGTCCTAAGCTTCCTGAAGAGCCCTAATCAACATTTGAGGTTAAGGAAGCAGGGAATTTTCAGCATCCACATCAATAATGGTAACTCTCTTCACCTGTTTTTACTGCCTTATACAAGGCGACTGCATTTTTTGCAAGTGGAATCCAAGAATTCCTGGGGAATTCCAGGAAACAGAAGCAAAACTGGTGCAAAAACCTCTGCTTGTGCAACAGGGCTGCAGTGACACAGGCCTACTGCCACCCTGGCAGCTACACTGCACTCTGCCTACTCAGCATCAGTCTGAATCCAAACCTGCTTCTTTCTGATTGACTGTAATGAGGTGACACAATGCACATGTGTTCCCTGGAACCAAAAATCCCAGGGCACCTACCAAACCAAAGGAAGCCTCCCAAGAAAACTCAAGAAACCTTTTTCAAAAAGTGTGAAAGACTAAAATTTGTATAATTGATGTGTTCCTTTCCTAAGCAGCATGGCTGGGGGTACACCCTGACCATTCTGCTGTTTCTCCTGTCAGCCTGCATTACACAGCCTGGGTGCCACAGACCAGAGAGAGCACAGCCTTACAGCTAGGAGCAGCCCTAAAGGTCATGCTCTATTTTATTTCTAGTTTAACAAAATGTATGTATGTATGTATACACAAAGGTAAAAATCAATTTTCTCATAAATTCCTGCATTGTGTTAGGAACTCACTGTACATTTTGTTTCAGCCGTCAGTCATAAGGTTTTATCCTGGTATACACTCCTCCACTACTACATATTCACTTGGTGTAAGAAATGGCCATTTCACTTTAAGAAATTAGGATAAACCCAAAAACTTCAAAACACCTTAGTTTACTACAAGCATCTCTGCTAAAACATATTTTCAGAAATGTATGTGATAATAAACAAGTGTGGCATTACTAGAACCAGTGACCCTTCCTGGAAGGCTCAGGTAAACAATTGGTACTGGTCTGAAAAGAGTTCTGTGCCTCCAGGTACAGCTGCAATGCTTTTCAAAAAATCCCCCAACTGGAGAAACTTGCAGCTGAAAAATTCCTGTCAGTCACAGATACAGCTCAAACACAGTTCAAAAAGCACATGAGAAATTTCAAGCATCGCTGAAGGCCAAAACGGCACATTTCTGCACTGGCACATGTCACTTCTCTTCTGAGGTTTCCCAGTGATGCAATCAAAGCTGCAGCAGATGCTGATGTGCTCCAGGAACATTTTTAGAAGTGGGCCTTGGTGGAACTAGTTCAAGCGGATGTGAATGGGATTTTATCTTATGGGTGACAAAATACGGCACGGATTAGAAAGACAGTGGTATCTGATAGTACTTGCACCTTACCCTGAGAGGATTTTCATTAAGGTAAGGAGGCTCTCCTTCCACCATTTCTATTGCCATGATCCCAAGGGACCAAATGTCTACCTTGGGACCATATGCTTTTCTTGTTACAACTTCTGGTGCCATCCAGTATGGAGTTCCCACCATTGTGCTCCGTTTACTCTGCTCAGGGGTGATCTGAGCACAGAAGCCAAAATCAGCTGAGGAGAAAAACAGATACTGTTAAAGCCTGCTGGAATTATGAAACCAAGCACAAGAATTCCCCACTCCAGGCCTGAGAAGGCAGTATTGAATGTAGCTGGAAAAGCAGCTGTGCTCTGTTTCCTCAGGGCTGTAGCCAAGGAAATCCAGAGTTGACCACTTAAAGAAACCCTTGAGTTTCATGCAGTGGCTTTTATGTATTCCCTTGAAGCTTTAGATTGCAACTCCCTCCCTCTCGAAGGGCCACACACAAACCAACGCCACTCTTGACACCCTGGTTCCTCTCTAGACCTCTCTGCACGTTGCAGCTGTGCTCTCAGCTTGCAGCAGCTCCGTGTGCTCCCACAAGCACCACTTTTGGGGAACTGGCAGTCACCCCAAAGCAGCCCCACACCCCATGAATGCTGATCCTGATCAAGTATACATACTCAATTTGACAGATCCATCCATCCCAAGCAGAATATTGTCACTTTTGATGTCTCTATGAATTACTTGGTTAGAATGGAGAAAATCCAGTGCTTGCAGGCACTGATAGAGAAAAAAGAAACATGAGTATAAAAATTCATGACCTGATTTCATCACACAAGAAAGGAAATAGCTCTAAAATATTTACAGATTTCTAGGGGAACGGTGAGTAACGGCAGAACACGGTGCTGTCAAGAGGAAGAGCTTACTGCTCCAGCACTATTACAGTTGTGTCTAAGTGAAGGCCTATCAGCTTTTGAAGGAGAAACATCAGTTATTCCTATAGACTGTGCCCTGCACACAGAGGCAGAATGATGCTGCTGCAGTGGATGTGCTCTCTCTTCTCTGTATAATGCCAAGCACACAGAAACAGAAGCAGCATCGTGTCCGCGCAAACCGAAGCACAAGCAGATCCCTCACCTCGCGACAGACAGCAGCTATCTGTCCTTCATCCATGCAAGTCTCGGTCACAACGTCGGTTAAAGAGCCTCCAGCCAAGTACTCCATAACCACCCACAGTTCATCACCAACAAGGTAGCTGAAAGGACAAAACAAAGGTGTGGAGATGAATGTCATAGCTAAATTACCTAATAATCATAACTCTACAGCTGATTTTTGGTTTCCAGGTCACCTGTAAGCAAAGACAGAATAAAACAAAAAGCAGACATTCCATCTAGGCTCTACAGTACTTGGAATCTGCATAGTCTGAATGAGAAAGGCACATTTATGAAAAAGGAGATCGTCTTAGGTGACAAGCAAGTAAAAAATGCAGTTTGGAAACAGCAAAGATAAATGTGGAACCAGGACACATGCCATCAGCTGGTTCATCATCTTAACTCATAAATTCCACAGCAGCTCCAGGAACAAGGCAACACAGCTTTCAGAGTTATCCATGGGAGGAGGCTGTGCACCACTGGGGACAGAAGTTGGTCAAACATTTGGAAAACCTTGCAAAAAATATATTCAGAAACAGGAAAAGACAAATGAAAAAACGGCAAATTAGTTGTTTCTGGAAACAAGAACCTAGTCTTCCTGGCATCCACAGCAATGGAAAATAGTTGTGAAGAGTCCAAGGGAAATAATTTCTACTAGCACTTCTGGTAAGACACAGAAAAAACCAAACCCCAACACAACACAACGACATGAAGGTAGTGAACTGACAGGCTGTTGTTTCAGGAAGACATGGCCCAGTCAGGTTTTTGAAAACAGGCTTCCAACTACACATGCCAGAAGAGATTAATGCAGAGCCAATGCCATCTCCTCCCATCCACTGGAGATGAGAAGAGAAATAATAAGGAGCTCCACGTTCTGCCAGTGACCAAAGGGTCTTTTTGGCTTGCAGTGTGTAAACGAATATCCGTGCAGTAATACCAGGATTACTTACCTGTCTAAATAGTTAACAATATTGGGATTCTTATTTTCCCTCATGACCAGGATTTCATTGATAATTAGTTCCTTTTTGGGCTGCTGCTGGAGATTCATTTGCTTTATGGCCACCTAAAATGACATTGAAAACCATTAACCTGAGTAGTTTGTTGCACAAGATCAGAATGAACATGGACTCAGCAATTATATGATGTTTGTTCATTATTTCAGCAACTGCTGCTGCTCTTGGTTGAGTAACAAAGCAAACACAGACATACATTACGGATAAAATGCTGACCTAAAAAGACCATTAAGGTTCCAATACAAAAATACAACCCTAGCACTTTCCAACCTCTTGAATTTTGACTTTGCTATTCTAAAGAACATTCTTTAACACAGTTTACATTTGCACTTATTGTCTGGCTTCAAAAAAATAATCCAGGTACTGGTATTTTATGAATACTCCCAGGGTTATCAGCAGGGCTTAGGGATTTTAGACCCCTTGTAGACACTCATCTAAGCACAGTTACCATGTGCAGCACTGCAGGTGGATAAGGAACTACCAGGACTCAGATCTGAATCTTTGCTGACAGAATTCAGGAATCTGAAGCTGGAGCCCCAGAGAGCAGTAGGATTCTCTAAAACACCACCTCGACTGTTTATTACTAACATGATCTCTGTAATGTGCTGTCACTGGACCAATACACAACTGTATTGTTACCGGCTGCAGTAAGACTAAAACACAACATTGCATCCCAAACATGATCTCTCCTTGATTATGTCTTACATTATACTTTGAAGATCAAATGCATGATGGAAAAAATGCTACACAATATTACTGTCTGAACCTGGGATTAAGATAAATTGGGCCTGAATGGCAGCAGTCACCATCAGCTTGTTGATGCCTTAGCAGATTTAGTAATTAAGACTGAGCTAATGTGTCCTAGCTACTTAGATACCTCCGCCCTCCTTCTTTCTGGTAGTTAATACAGACAGAGTCTTTCCAAAATTAAGCAAAATAATGAAGCTAATTATTCCTCACAGCAATAGGCAAATCTGTGACCACCTCCAGGGTTCTCCAAAGGCCTCTCATTACGACAGATCTTTTGATTTTACAAGCTATATTGCTAACTGATCTGTGGCCACATGCACAGGCAGATTTTATACTCCAAATGTACAGAGTTAAATTGTATATTTAGACCAACATTCTCTGTAAAAGCACAACTTCATGCACACTGAGGAGCAGAGACAGAACAATTTCTGAACCAACACATTTACAATGGCAGTAAAAATGATCTACTTTTCCCTCCCTTTTGTACTTTTCATCAGCACAAAAGCTTGCTGGGATTCCTTAACAGATTTCTCTCCATTTAAAAAAACATTCAGGGATGATGAAACATTGTTGGGACCAACCATACGGCAGAGAGCACCAACCAGTTCTGAAGACAGACTAAGTAAAAAAATAATTCTCTTACAATTGGCCCTAAAAGCTGTGGGTGAAGCATCCAGCCAAGCACAGAGAGCACCAAGGCTCTCACTGATTCTAGGAATTCAGTCACCTTTTCAGGCCTCAGTTCCAGTGTTGCTGAAAAGCATTTGGCCATAGTAAGTGTTCAGTTTTGAGGCACAGAACCACATTGCCCTTAAAGAGCTTTCACTGAAAAGCTGAAGACAGCAGCTGATGGATTTTGCCAGCTGACACTAGTCTGGGCTTCAGAGGAATAGTCTTCATGGGAAAAATGTAGTGGCCTCCCAAAGCTCCAGCCATAGCTCACACCAGAGGGGAAAGCACTCAACAGCTGCAAAATCCACTGCGATTTTTGACACTTACCTCCTGTCCTGTGGCAATGTCAATTGCTGTATAAACGGTTCCTGAAGCCCTGGAAACAAAACAGCAGCAAAGAAATGTGAAACCATTTAGTCTCTGGAAGTGAAAGCCAGCCCAGACAGGAGACTTCTGCAGCCTGGAGGGTTTATAACCACCTTGGCACATCTCTTCAGCCAACAGCACGGCCAGCCCAACAGCCCTTTGCCATTCAGGGTCTCCAAGAGAAAACTTAGGTTCAACATGAAGCAAAAGGGCTGGTGCCAATCTCCAGTGCACATGCCAAATTATTCTAGTTAAAAACCTAAGGGGTGTGTGTGTCTACAGAAAGTGGAAAATAATAGATTTAATTCTTTTCCATAAAAGGTCAACAACACTTATTCAGAATTGCTAACATAAAATAAAGTCTTATCAGGCTTTATTTCAAGGCAGCTCCTGAAATGAGAATGTTTTTGGAATGTTCCAGGCCACCTGTGAGGAGCTGAGAAAAAGGTAATGTAAGTAAAGCTGTGCATTAATTGCACAGGCTCTGTGTTTTGGTATTATGAACTTTTACTTCTAAGGAACTAATTTCTGATCTGTAATGTTTAATCAGTTCTGCAATACCTTGGGTTTACTGCAGTTAGGCACGTGCCAGGGCTCACCATTAGATGAATGTCCCTGTGATGCAGTCCAGTACAAACCCAGGCTGCTCATGGCTCCACACTAATTTGTCTTGCTAGCAAGAGCTAACACTGCTTGAGCAAACACAACCTCTTTATCAAGCGCTCGTTAACTAGGTTTCCTCCAGTATCAGCAACATTTTTAGTTATCTGCTGGAGATAGATGACAAACCAGGGACTCAGCACTGACCTGTTCTGCAGCACAGGCTGCTGATTACTGTTCACTGCAAAGTGGCTGTAAAACCATCACACTGTTGACTGACTTACCAGCTGTATGAGACCATGAAGTGCTACGTACCAGTCAAGCTGCTTTTCCTTAGGTAAGCAGCTGCTCCCTACTTGCAGTTCTCTGAGCAGCCACACCTCTTGCTGCCCTGCAGTGCTCTCATTAACAGGTACTAGAAACCTATTCACTTCCAACACTACCACTTGCCTTTGGCATGACTGTACCCAACTCACTGCAGAGGTGAGCAGCTCAGGAATAGACGTCTGCATCAACTAAACACATCAGCACCTTCCGAGGCAGTGCCTCACGCCCAGCCCTGCTGCAGACAGACACACTAACCCCAGCCATGCAGCACTCTGGGTCCCCCTGATCACCCTGTTTGGTTACCTTCCTGACGATTTTTCTTCTTTAGGATTTTTCCCTATCACTGTAAATTGACCTGTGGTATTACAGGCATGAGTTGGTTACAGCAGCACACTCAGTCCTCTCTAAGGAGGGCATGCATTCTTCAGGTTGTACTAAAAGCTGGAGGAAAGCAATTTAGATACCCTTTTAGGCCAGATATTGGCCACTTGTCTTTCCACCAGCTGTCAAGGCACCTTTGTACAAGCTCACCCCTAGGACTATTAGAATAAAAGACTATGAGGGCAATGGTCACATTCTTACAGTGACAGCAATAATCTGCTTCCCACGCATGTTTATTCTGCTCTCACTTCTTCAACTGACACTTCTGAGAGAGTGGCACAACTCTAAGTGTCCACTGACATTTACAAATGACAGTAACAACAAAAGCTTCGGGTAGAAAGCAAGCTGGAATTTGATAAAGGGCTTTTAGACAATGAATGGAGCAGAAACACCTTCCCACAAGGGCCCAGCCAAACCAGAAATCCAAGATAAACTCTGCCAGAGAAAGAGCAGGAGTGTGTCTGCCCTTCTGCAGTCTGTACCCATGCTAGGTCAGCAACAGGCTACCCTGAGCTCAAACCTCACAAACAGTTAAGGCAGAAAAATATCTCCCAATGCCAGGAAACAGCTTCTGTCCTACACTGACAGCAGTGTGATCCTGGTGTTACACAGATGGTGACAGCCCTCCTGGAACTACAGCACTGCCAAGCGAACTCTGATGGTGCAGGCAGTCTGTCCATATTTAAAATGCAAATCAGATACCTAATTTTGAGGTAAGTTCTTTTGTTCTTGCCTCCTCACACAGGAAACATTTCCAATCTATCCAATTTACAGTAAGCAAAGCCGAGTTTCTACAGGGAACAGTTTGGGTGTTTATTTTCAGAAAATGCCTAAAACCTGCAGGCTCCATGAGGGATGTGCCATCAGGCAGATGATGCATTTTCCTCTCAAGTGCACCAGCACTGTGTCTGTTACTGAATTTTTGATCTTTACTACCTCTGGTAGAAAAGAGAGCTTATTATTTCATCTCTGGCTTCAGTTTCTAAACTATGTGGTTATAATCCTGACCACTGAACACTGTTAAAAGAAAAATATTTGAAAGATTGTTATTGAGAACTGTTATCTGACAGGTACTGGGTGGCAAGTTGCTCTTTTAGGCAATACATTTTTTTCTCCTTTCTTGAATGCAGTCATACTGTTTATTTTGAGACACACAAAAATGATTTATCCTAAGAAAATAAGCAAATGTGCCACACACTGGAGGGACAAGAGATCTTCCAGGTCCTGCTCCTTGAGCCAGACAAGATATTCCCAGCATTACATTGTCTTTGATGATGCTTTCTGACTACAGTTATGAATTCTGATCAGTACTGAGAGACAGGAGGATCTAAACCAGTGCCTGAATATGTTTGGAGCTTGTGTGACTTCATGTTTGGTATCACACCATCAAAACACTTGTCCAATGGTTTTGCTTAAGTAACTGGAATTGGACTTACCCTTGGCCAATTTTTTCAAATCGAGTGTATTTCTTCTTAGGATCTCCCACGCTCACAATGCTCCCTGGAAGAAACAAAATGAAAGATGCTCACTCAAAACAGAGATACAGTCTTCCAGCAGATCCAAAATGCAGCTCCACTCTCTGGGGCTGTGAGCTGGGTAACAACAACAACAACAGCAACAACAGGCAGCTCCACAGCACACATGGCCTCCACAAGGACTGATTTTCTACAGTTCTTTTAAACACATGGAGAAACATTCAGAGCAGACAGAGATCAGAAAAGAACAGGTACTAATGCAAGTGTTTGTCCCCTACAAACATTAAGGAGAGAAGAAACAACAGTGCCTTTATTTTCCTGGGAAAACTAAAGGGGTGTGATTCAACAAAAGGTTTGATACTTACAGAGAGTCAATGCACCTTGGGTTCTGGAATCAATTTGTATGAACAAAAATGTTCAAAACAAATAAACATTTTTGGAACAGGAAGAATATTGCAAAGTGTTTACAGGAGAGGAAGGAATCTTCCCAACCTTTCAGCAGTTTGCCAAAATGATGCCTTTATGTTTTTAAATAATAGCATCTCATGTTACAATCAAGAATGATGGGTCTGTAAGAACTAGGACCCCCATCACTGATTACCACACTAAGTTCTGCAGATGACCTTGCCTGTGCCATTTGAAGAACCACACTGCTTGTCTTCAGCCTGGGCTGGATCAGTCACTAGCATTTGACGCTTCCTTTCAACACCACAAACACACTGTTCTTCACAAATCGGCACAGCCAGGATGGGTAAAAAGGACAGCAATGCTCCTCAGGCACTGGTGTGACACACAGCCCAAATGAGATGCTGATCCTTTCACGAGTCCAGGCGATGGATGCAGAGCACAGCCCAGACAAGGGGTTGCTCAGCAGCTCTGTCCTGCAGCAGTGGTCGAGCTGTGCAGTGTGAGCAGGAGGCTTATGCCTTCTCATCTCACATCCTTTCATCCAGTCAGCTAGAACAGAGTCCCAGAGTCCTCTGGTCATGTTCTACTCTACTGAAAGGTTATTTTGTAGTGAAAACCTGCTCTAGAGAAGCAGAATGAGCTTTATCTTATAGTGTTTCAGTGAGATGAAACTATGAAAAGTTAACCAGCTTCTTCAAAGTATTACATCCCGGGCTTGGGCTCCAGACAGTCCAGCTCCTCTGACCCTTGCAGGATGGCAGAGCAGGGCAGGACCACTTCAGGCTACTTGAGACTGTGTTGGCATCCCCAGCCAGCAGGCAGGCTCACACTGCCATCATCACTGGCTGGCGCTCCTGGAGTGCTGGGTGAGGGCAGTGAGTACTGCAGGGCAAAGGAACCCTCTTCTCCTGCAGCTCCCATTAGCACTCTTGCCAAGGGCTGCAGAAGTGTTTTAGCAGAGAGTGTACCAGATGGTGCTGATGCCCTGTCTTCTTGCCGTGCTGGCAGGCAGAATTCCTGGCTAGGCATCCAGTCAGATGCCCATTTGGATGCTAAAGCCCTCTGCTCCAGAGAAGTGGCCTGGACAGGGGGAGAGGTGTGTCTTACTACTTACAGAGAATGGTGCATCACCTAGTTTTGTTTTGGATGTACAGGTAAACAAATAAGTATGTGTTTGTACTTGGGATACAGCAATACTGCCAGATCAGTCAAAGGAAATATGCTGCAGAACACTGAAAGTCTTTCCTTCTGAACTCATCTTCTATTTCTGTGATGCATGTTACAAGGTAAATCTTTAGAGGTCATTTGTATTGAGCCATCACCTTAGGCATCATTATTTGCATTTTATCTAGGAAACTACTGGACCAGAAAAAACAATACTATTGCTTTAATTAAGCCTTCAGATTTGTTTGAGTCTATCAGATTTTGGCTCTTTCATCAGACACAAACACAATATCCAATTACTGCTTTCTTTCCTTCTTGTTCAGGCTCTCTACACTTCCAAGTGGGCAAGAAGGCATCAAGCAGGGCAAGCTTTAATTTCTTTTATTTTAGGTTTCAGGGGCATGAGCTCCATGATGGGTGATGGAGCCTGACTGTCTCACACTGGACTGTCTCACACCCTGTGCTCACAACCCGAGGCTCTGCAGCAGTAAACTGAACAGTGCTGTAAACCTGTGCTGGGCTGGACAAAAGGATCAACAAGGTGCTCTCAGTGTCTGTCTAGGTGCTATTTTCAGCAAGATAATGGAACTGTGTGTCTATTAGAAGAGGTATCAGAAGTTCATGAAGTTCACTCATGGTAAATGACTGCAGAACAAAGATTTCGAAAAATCATTTTCCAAATTTGCCACTGATTTTGCAGTTCAGATTTCCAGAGTTTTTCCTCAAGACCTTAGTAGCTGCTTTCCCAAGTTAGCTGTTTGTGGCTGGTTTCCTGTGCTTAAGCTAATGAACATTAAATATTACAGCATTAAGATCAACGAAGTCACAGATACACAGCTCCTGCTCAGACAAGCACTCCCTTTTGTGGACAAAAGATAAACATTTCAGCTGTTTTGATGCCTTTAAGCACTTTACTTTATCAAGTCTTAAATTAAGTGGGTAAGAAACCAGAATTGGGCCAGTTCTGTTTTATAGTTATCAATGGTACATAGTTGTGATTTCATTACAGACAGAATTTTGTTTGATCTTATCACGGTATTACAGGTTTTACTCCCTAATAAAACTCTAATAAAAGCTCTAAAAGAACATGAGTTATTTCAAGCATAAAAGAATTATGAAAGCAATTTTAGATAAAAGAGGGCAGGGGACATCTTCCTAAAAGCAGCACAAAAGCTTGTGAGGGAAGTAGGCAAGGTGGAGTGGCCATATGAGTTAAAACAGAACAAGCACCACACTGCGTCAGTATAATTAGCCCAGGCAACTAAGGAAAAAACATCATCCCCGTTTTCAGATAGCTTCATGAATGCACGAAAATATTTTCATTGTTCATATCACAATTTTCCCAAGGAAACCTTGCTCACTTGGTATCAAATTGTTAAGCAAGAAAAAGCATGAACGCATGTAACATTTCAAAGATAGAATCCCCAACAACCAAGGGCTTAGTCCTAACCCAGTGTACACAGAAGCTTGAATAAATGATATACATACTTACATTCATGGATGCAGGGTGCCTGCAAATCTCATGGGGGAAGCCTGCCTCAAACATTTAGTGTCAGCTGAGGAAGTGTAATTCCTCTCTCTATAAGCTGACATACCTGCAGGTAACTATCTGCTCTGGAATTTATTTCATTGTGCTCTCAGCTAAAGCTATCAAACTTATCCCTTGGATACTCTCTAATGGCACTGAGATTCAGTTCTTTATAGCCATGTCAAGCTGCGAAGGGTGCAGAACATTCTATGCAAATCTCACAGCTAAGGAAGGCCTCAGCCTCTGTAGCCACACAGTTATCAGTGGCAGGGCAGGTATGACAAAAAGGTGAGGCATTGACAATCACTGTGAAGAAGCCACAGCCAGACTGCAGCCAGTTACATGCAGTTACCCCCATTAAACACAGAACACTATTGGCTTTGAGACAGACATGAGGTGGTGTAATCAATCTGCTTTTTGTCCTAACAGTTAATGGCAGACACAGAGTGAACATGGCTGTGTTCTGAATCCAACCATTTACTATCTGAGAACGCAGCACTGGCAGCTATTACATGCAAGAAGCAGATTAAATTGGTTTCACTGCAGAATCACAGAGGGTGCAGGGGTTGGGGCCAATGGTTAGGATTCTAATAGTACTAACTGGCTGGGAATTAGCCATGAAAAAGTGCCATGTATCCGAGGAATATAGAGTGGATGCACCTTCAGTCAGTAAGTCACTGAGGTGCTGGAGCGTGTCCAGGGAAGGACAACAGATCCAGGGAAGGGTCTGGAGCACAACTCTGATGAGGAGTGGCTGAGAGAGGTGGAAGGTGTTCAGCCTGTAAAAAAGGAAGCTCAAGGGGGACCTTACTTAGCCATGAAAAAGTGCCATGTATCCGAGGAATATAGAGTGGATGCACCTTCAGTCAGTAAGTCACTGAGGTGCTGGAGCGTGTCCAGGGAAGGACAACAGATCCAGGGAAGGGTCTGGAGCACAACTCTGATGAGGAGTGGCTGAGAGAGGTGGAAGGTGTTCAGCCTGTAAAAAAGGAAGCTCAAGGGGGACCTTACTGCTCCCTACAACTACCTGAAAGGAGGTCCCGGTGGGGTGGGGGTTGGTCTCTTCTCCCAGGCAACTAGCAGCAGAACAAGGGGAAATGGCCTCAAGCTGGGCCAGGGGAAGTTCAGGTTGGACATTAGGAAAAATTTCTTCACTGAAAGAATGCTTAAGCACTGGAAAAGGCTCCGAAGGGAAGTGGTGGAGTCACCATTCTCAGAAGTGTTCAAAAAATGAATAGACATGGCACTTCATGATACAGTTGAGTCAGCATGGTGGTAATTGGTTAAAGGCTGGACTTAATGATCCTTGAGGTCTCTTCCAACCTTAATGAGTCTATGATTCTATCTTTAAAAGTATAGAATTAAGTAAAAAGGGATTGTTATAAATTGTATTTTTTAATTTTTGAGGCACGTTGAAAACACCTTCTATTCTACCCATGGTATCAGTTGATGTTCTTTCACAGGAGAACTTGCTGACAAGTATGTAAATTCTTATAAAAACAAACTGTAGAAGAAGGAGGAGTAGTAACAGTCATAAAAAGGACAGCAAGAGAATAGTTGAGAGCTCCTTGAGGCTGAAGGAATTAGCTTAGTGCTGTAGTTGTTTACCTGTAGAAAACATCAGCACCCTCCAAACACAAACAACCCCAAAACCCAACAGACTTCTGCAAAGTATTTTGGCCCTGATGGCTTGGGAGAAGTCAGGAGTCTAAAGAGAATTTAGGAACCCAAAAATGCTGTTCAATTTGACCATTAGCACACAGAAGTACACCAGGTCATTCACTAGGTCACAGTATTCTGCTCAACCAGAAACTACCTCCACTTTTGCCTTTAGCCTAGAGGGAAGCTGAGGCAAACCCAATCCAGTCCGAGCTGCCCTCAGAGGCAGAAGGAACACCCAGAGAGCTCTCACTGCCTCGAAGCGCAACAACAGTTTCTGTAGGGAAGGTATAAATTACTCTGTGATGCTACACTGAGGAGGAACATTTGGCACAGCTAATGCTGAGACACGCATGCAGTACACTGCTCTAGCAGACACAAAATACATAATACATACTCAGTTTCTCTAGGATCTCCTCATCTGTCATCTTGGACTTTTTTCGCTGCCGGTCTGTGTTTCTGTACAGAGTGTTTGTGTTTGAGTTTTCAGGCTGGGGTGTGGTGGCTTCCTTAGCTGGTGCTGGTGCAGCGGCAGGTTCAATTACAGAGCGTGTGTAGATCTGTGACAAGAAATTATTTTGTGTCAGAAAGGTGGCTGGCAGGGATGCCCCTGAGATGATATTTCAAATGCAAACCCTTAGGAAGATGCTGTTGGCCACATCCAGGGCTCTAAAACTGTTTGGTTTTACTGTTCACTTCTCAAACTGAATGGGTAAAAATGAAAGGTTACAAGTTCATGTCCAGTTTCATGTTCAGTTTTCATGGATTTTCTGAAATAGAGGCCAGGTACCTCCAGGAGACAGTGCCTACTACATATCCTGTGAGGGTATGAACTGTATCTTTGGACCACTCTCCTCTGACAGGGAGCCTTGCACAGGTAGTGTGCACCAAGTGTCTCACTTTTACACCTGTAGCATTAAAGAACATCATGCTGCCTCTTACCAGACACGAAGAGAAACTCACAGTCCCTGTCAGAATCCCAGGAAACTGATGTCTAAAAATGAAACTTCAAAACCTGTTTCCCAGGTATCAGTGTCAGGGGTGAAGCACAGTGTCATGGCAGGGCTCCATCCCTCAGCACCTTCAGCCATGAACAGCAGTGCTGTCTGATCAGCAACTTGTAGCTCTGCATTGCACCAAAGACAGGGTTGACCAAAGCTGCCACTTACTGATTTTGTGTGCTCAGGCCGTGGTGCAATAACAGGTGGAGGTTCATTGTCATCTTCCTCCTCTTCATCGTCCTCATCCTCTTCTTCAGACACAGATGGAGCCAGAGGAGGTTCTGATGCTGTTTTTGTGCTCTGTGGACAGACACTAGCGTGAGTGACAGTCACCACTCTACCACTTGGAAGGTTTGATAGTTAGATACAACTTAAAGGCTTCTTAAGACATCAGAAACCCACCTAGACATGCATGTGCTCTTTTGGGCCTCAGTTCCAAGTTACACACAGCACAACACAATTTAAAGCTATTTAAAGTGAGGCAAATTGAACTCCACCAGTCCCAGCTGATGCTCAGAGACAGAGGCTTATATCATGTTGTCCCAAATTTGCTGGTGAAACAAAAGAATTAAAATGTTCCTTGTGAAGTGTTTACAACCTGCTTTAAAGCTGGCTACAACAGGCCAGTTAAAGAACTGAAGCAAATCAGAGGCACCTTTCTAAGTATTCACATCTCACTGGTGTTCCCTTTAAAATATCATCCCTTCGGCCCAGTGGAAATACCAGTAAGGGAAGCCCACAGCAAGTAGGGAGACTTAAGCCAGTAACTTTGGAAAGCTGAGATCCTGAGCGTCTCACTACTGCCTCTGTCTGCTGGAAGAAAATACCACACCATCTGCCAAAGCTGTTGGAAGGCTCACTCTGCTCTGGTGAACGCCACGCTTCCTCTGAAAAGTGTTGTTTTATTAAAGACAAGGGAAGTGGCATTGATTGAAAATCTGAAGTGTGAATACTCGAAGATGATTTTCATTTCATTACACACACTCTGCTGTGTAATCACAAATCTCACATGAAGTTGCTTAACACTTACAAAGAAAAGCCAATCCCCATCCACTTGCTATTTAATGCACTAACAATAACCCTAATAAATTTGATGAGTATTAATGTGGATGTCATTCCTACATCTCTGGAATTGCTATTGCAATCCAGCATTAATTAGAGCGGATAGTTATTTAAAACTTTCTTTCAGTGGTTCTGGTGAGTTACATATCAATTATAACCTCATTTAGATTCAGCTATATATTCAGCTGTACTAAGGAGGAATCATGAAATTTTATAGAAATGGGATTTTAAGTTGTTAAAACTAAATTAAAATGGGCTCATTAGATAGTGCTGCATATTGTTGTGAATTATATATTCCACCATGGCTAAAACCAGCAAGCAAAACCAACTTTCACCAGTCTGAAACCTCTTAAACAGAAAATTAAAAACCAGTCAACTAAAGCTCACAGCTTTCTAGACTCTTAAACAGTAGGCACACCAAAGGTTACACTCCCACTCACCGAAGGATGGGCTTCAATGTATCCATGGGCGCTTTTATCTGCAGGGAAAATGAACCAGAGGCTGTTAGGAACCAGCTGTCTGTGTGGGGATCCCACGGAAACAGTCAACCCAAAGAGAGAGCATTTTTCTTTCACAACATCCCCCCAGGAGTAACACTTCTTTTACACAGCAAGGAAGAGAACAGGACAATATACCAGGTTGTGTCTATGTTTTGCTCTGGGTTGCCAGTAAATAAAATACATAGAAACTTAGTCAGGAAAATTGTTCCATAACGGTCAGTGCATCTGTTCTACCCAAGGGCTAAAGCAGCTTGTTCTCCTCTCTTTCCTGTACTTAATTTTTTTTAAAATAAATTGCATTAATTAATTCTCACTAGCTTGCTGGAAGTGTTTCCCCTGAAAAGCTCCCTCAAAATCCCCCTTACTTGTGGCAGTTCTGTAGTGACACAGTACAGGAACAGCTCCTGGGTTCAGGAGCACACACCAACTGTTTTAAGTTCGTGGTTCATCCAGAGGGAACTGCTGTTTCAGCACACAGTAAGTGTCGTTAGACAGTCAAAACCTTTAATGCTTTCCCTCAGTTCTGGAGATAACTGCACAGTTTTTAGAAGGACTTCTGAGAAGTTCTCCCAGCCTGCATTTTGGAAATTGCCTTGGTTGAACATCAAACTGAGGAAATTACAGGCTCTGCTGCCACAGACAATCCCAACAAGGGAAGGGAATCCCTGCAGGTTACATTCCAAATGCTGCCCACACCTTACTGCCCAGGGACACCCCCTTTTTAGCTAAAGCTGTTGATAGGAGCTCTACCAAACTAATGGCATCTTAATGCCATTTTTGGTTAAGAAATCAACTCCGTTCCAAAGGAAGAGCATCAAGAACACAGTGATCCCAAAGCCAGAATACCGCACCTAGGAAATGCCTCCACTGACTTCCCAGATGGCTCACTATCCACGGCTTGTCTAGATAAAACCAGAAAACATTAGCTAAATTAAAAACTTTGCAAACTGCAGCAGAGAGTTGCTGGGTGATTCCAGCCATGCTGCAGAAGTTTGCAGACTGTGACCAAGGGTAAAATTATACCCTTGTTGGCTAAAAATATTGAGGTCAGGAAAAATCCTCCTAGAGGGAGCAAGGACGCGCTGCTCCGGCTGCTCAGCCCTCCGGCGCCGCCGGGCAGAGGCTCCGGCACCACCCGGAGGAAGCAGCGGATCGCGTTGCTGTAGCAACGGACGCCTGACATCAGCGGCCGTTAGCGGCTGGCCCGTGCGTTTAGGCGGAGCAACTGATCTTTCTTTCTGAGCTGAATAATTCTTTCTAAACTCTGCAGCTAACATAAAGGGAGCCTGGAAAGGTCTTCTCTGGTCCAAAGGATCACAAAAAATCCACATAGTCCATAACCTATTGCTCAAAGGATCCAAGAGTAGCTCAGAAAATACACCAAGTCCGTTTACCCCATAGCCCAGTCTGAACACGGAGAAGGGACCAGGGTGTGCACAAACCAAAGGAAACATGACCTTTGGTCACTACTGCTTCTGACTGAAAATGGGAATGCTTGTTCTGGCCAGGATCTTGATCCTAAAAACAATGACACTTAGGGGACATAATGAGAAATGGAATTAATTTCAGGAGTATTTCACAAGGTGGAGTTGGTTCAGGCTGCTTCTTCATCACCTCAATGTTGAATTTTGCTGACTCATTTTGGAGTCTGACCTCCCTTTTCCATAGGGGGATGTCGACTTACCTCCTGACGTAAAGCTCATATATTTCTGGTTGTTAACTGTTTCTTTGGAATCGTAAAATTTGAGAACATCTAGAACTGCTTGTGGGTTCTTCTTCTGCTCCAATTTTGTTATGTTGGAGGTCTGTAGTAGCCTAGCCCACTGCTCTGGAATGCCCTGTAGATGTCGAGTGGAAAGAGAGAGGGTTTAGAATATTGAAAAGCCACAGCCTCACAGATCTTTACCGAGATCTCATGCTCCCTGTAAGATTACTTACTGAAATTTTGATTGACACCTGACAATTAAAATTAGATGCAATCATTCTCTTCTTTATCAACATCTAGCTAAAACCAGGACCCAACTTTAATAAGAAAAGTAAGTAATGACTGTGAGAGGAAAAAAAGGGCATGAAACTCCTCTGGAAATCAGCTCGGCTCTTCCATGGAAGAATGATTTAAGGCTTAGCTTGTTTTGCCTGGTGATTCAGTGCAGACATAACAAGACCATTCTCTATTGGTGGACAACACAGTGTCTTTTAGGAGCTTTACACTGGACTTTTCATGCTTAGGAATGCAAACACATTTTGCTGAAATGATCCCTGCTGTCTGATTCGAAGGTAAACCCCACCCTGATACAATTCATTCTTAGCATACCAGGGAACACTGTGGGGCAAAGGATCTGCCTTTCAGCTCTCAAAATCATGACACTGAGGTGTACCACTGCTGCCAAGGATGTCTCTAGGTTCTCTACTGCAAACATACACAAACCAGGGACTCGGAAAACAGGCAGAGAGTGCCAAAGCCTTGGATGAATTCTTGGACCTCTTATGGGTGAGAGTGGCATTTGAAAATTGATACAATTGCTGAAAGCCCCATCTCTACATTGAAATTCTATTGTGAAACCTTGCTTTAAGTATCCAGGATGATTCCCTAAACTTGACAGCCTGTCATTCCCCCCTTTACTGCACAGCTGACAATGACCAGCAAATTGTAGGGCTCACGGAAGGAAAAACAACACCTCAGCCTTGGTGCCACCCCGATCTACTCTCATATAGCTTCTTCCTCAGAAGTTCTCCACAGAACAATATGTGACATGGGCCTCCATAGTTTAGGACTGATGAAAAAAAAGTGGGAAAAGCCAAGCAACAAATCTACTGCACACACATCAACCTGCTGCTGCAGTGCTATGACATCTCAAAGAAGCATTTGGGGCCTGTGACGCACCTCTGGGAGCTTCCCTGGGCACATCTGTGAGCCATAGAGATCTGGCTGTAATGGACGTAAATAAAGAAAGAAAAGAAAGTTAAAACAGAATGTGGGAAAACTTAGAAGGTGGTAGGAGGAGAAAACCAACAGGCCAAAGGGCAAGCCCCATCTAAAATGGGAGTTATGAGGCAGAGATCAAATAGATCAGGTGGTGGACAGACTACAGGAAGGCAAGCTTAGGAAAACAGAAAAACCACAACTGTTCCAAAGTTTGGAAGCATCATTCCCCCTCCTCTTGCTTTTAAACCAGTTTTTCTCTCTCTCATAAAAATACATTCCTGAGAATTAACGTGACTGGAAAAATTATTTCCTTTCTAAATTAAGAAATAAAAATAAAAAAGCAGAGAAAGATCTGGGCTTTTGCTGTTTGCCTACTTTTGAAGCCAGGTCACCATTTCTGAATGGCTCTGTACAAGTTTTTTCCAAATTTGGGGGTTCTCCAGCCCTGAGATCACCAGCAGCCAGTGCACGAGTCCACAGAGTGCAGTGGAGAGAGCAGTTGGTCCAAGTCAGATTGTGAAATCTGGGAGGTTGTGTGTTGCCACAATGCAAATAATCTATGTGTGTCAGACTGAAAATCAGGACAATTGTAAAGAAATGCCTGATTAGATTAGGAACGTGCAACTTCTTTGGCTCTACATTCACAACTTTTCCCACTTACTAATGTCATAATCTTGAAGCTTTAAAAGTTTGGTGGGTGACCACATTTTCTTCTAAACTGGGGATGAGGAAATGGTTTCAAACATGCATGCCTTACATGGAACACTCCCCAAAGCCCTGCTAACCACACTTTGTCCTCCATTCAAAAAATGCAACTGTTTCTTGAAAATAAAGGAACATAAAGCTCCAGCAGCATGCTCCCACCCAACAGTTTCCAACCAACTTTATTCTCTGCTTGAAAAGCCCTACTTCTTAGCAAATGTGGTTGCTCCAAGCACAGTGAAATGGAGACGTAGCAGCTGTTCACGATGGACAACACAGCTCGGTGCTCAAGCCTGAAAGCCAGAACTCGGGAGTCCATGCAACTGTGCATTGAGATGCAACTAACAGCAATCAGGGAATGGAGCTGGGGGTGATGGTTCGGTGTCAGAAAATGGCCCAATACATTGCACGTGACCAGGAGAGCAGGCACTTTTGGCATGACAGCTGTGGCAATTTGAAACAAAAAAAACCCCATATATTTGCATATTCATTGGGCACTCCCATGGCACTTCCAAACTTTTGAAAGAGACAGACAGTGTGATCACTAGACAGTGGGAATATTTGTACAACATGATATGGCTAGTGGTAGTCCCTTCAGCAAGAGGTACTCACCACATGACTACACAGCTGATACACAGGTTCTATCCAGGCTGGGACAAATCAAACATGCCTAATGCAATCTGCAACATAATGCCTGCATCTGGGGTTAGTTGGGACTGATAGCTAGTTCTTAATGGTGCAAATTCCCTTGCTTTGACTGACTCCACTAAGGGCTGCAGCATTAAGCCCTGTGCTGCACCTGTCCCTTTGATGAGGTCTGAATTGCTCAGAGCCTCAGCTGCAGCACTGCACTTCCACACTTCAGCAACAAGTGTTATTGTAGAAATACTGTGCAACTGCAAAACAGCAGACATCTAATGTCCCTGTTTGGAAAGGAAAAGAGATATTACAGAAAAACTGCTACAGCTGGACATATTTAGCCATGTAGAATTGTTTTGCTCTATAAAAGGCCACGACCTGTGCTGGTGGCATCTGACACACACAGAAAATAAAATTAAAAGAAGCAAAAATCTCAGATGCCAGAGACTGTTTTGACACACTGGATGACAATAACAACATTCCAAATGACCCAAACTGTGATCCATAACATACTGATAGTGGTTCTGCTTAGAACTGCAGTGTGCTAAGCTTGACGTCCCTCCTTTCAGTTCCAGCCAGCAGGGACATGCACTAACCAGGACCCTCACCACAGTCAGACTGTGAGAGAACACGATGCTGACCCATCGTGTCTGCACAGAGAGAGAAGGAAAAAGTCTGAAGCACAGGGTAGAAATAAATGTAGAAGGCTGAAAGGAAGAAGAGAGATAGAATAAGAACATCTGAACATTCAGTGGGGAGAGAAAGGAAAAAGAGAAGGTGGGAAGAAGACAGGCAGGAAGAAGTGACACAAACACAAAAGGGAGAAAAGCAGACAGTAACATCATATGCTACAAAGGAGAATGGCACTGAAGATTAACTTGAATAATGAAGTGGCCACATGGAGAGAAAGAGAGGGGAAAAATGGAAAAACCAGGATAGACATCAGGCAAAACATAGTTTTTAAACCTTTTTCCTAAGTTTCTGATAAAAAATGACCACATCTGGGCTTTTAAAATGAGCATTTAGTTAAGCCCTGGGGTTTGGCACAGAATAAATTTTGAAGCAAGATTTCATAAGTGACGTCTATTTTAAAAAAGTCTAATTCACTAGTTCACTTCTTTTAAATGAAGCTGTATTTCCTAATTAGTAAGGATAATTCAATTTCACTACTCCTTTGAAGACATGCTGTCATTAAATGTGTCTTTTTTTTTCTCCTATTATTACTACTGCTGCTACTGCTACAGTAGAATACAGAAAGTTTCCAGCTTTCTTAAACATCCTGGTGAAGCAAAGGTAGCAAAGTAAAAAATGATGCAGAAATCACATTTAGGGCTCAGATCCTGAAACTGAGACATTCTGTGTCCAGGCAAATGATTTGTCCCATCCTGTTTGGTGTATGCAGCCTGTCAGCACGAGCACACTTCACAATTGGACACACAGTGATTACACAGTCTGACCACTTAGCTCACAGGGTACTACTGAGGCACAGAGTTGCTAATGCTTCCTCTCACCTCCACATCTCAACCAATGTAAGCTCACTGCCATCTCAGCTTTAGGGGTTAATGGTTTCAGCACCTAACTAGCAGTTTGAGAGAAAATGCTTTGAAGCCCCTTGCACATCTCCAGGAGCTTCTATCAGACTCATTTTTCCCAACACTTAATACACTTTGTCGACACGCAAGTAGCAAAATCTGACAGCTGTTTTATTAATGCATAAAGGCTAGCAACGTGTCTGATCACCTAGTGTATAAACATATATTGAAGGATATTAAATTAAAATGAATGGACTTCCACAATGCTGCTGCTTTCTGGATGTCTCCAAGGGCTGACTGCAGAGCAGATGGACTTTGCATGTTGATGCTGGCTGTCTACAGCAAGGCACACACTAAGCACGTGTGTGTGGGTTTTAATGCTTTTCCAAAGACACTAAATAACCAGCCCTTGTAGCAGCTTTGGGGACTGGTAAAAGCATACACCTACGTTCTTCCGAGTTTTAATTTTCTACAGACACTCTGCTGACAATCCTTGGAGAAAAAAACCCAAAAAGCAGCCTGAATCACAAGTTAAACACTCTAGATCCTAAGCCCAACAAATAAAAGTCTCTTTCTTCATAGCCTGGCTGCTGTCATCCAGCGTTTCTGGCAACAGGAGGTTATTTTACCATCAGGAAACTAGAAGCTGTGGTAAACACGAAACGCAGCAGTTACGTACTGTGAATTCTCCGGTGACGGCATCAAATCCCACATGGATGGTGTGTTCAAAGTCTGAAGGAAGAGAGATCTCAGGACGTTCTTTCTCTTTCTTCTTGTTGGCTAGAGGCAAAATGTTAACATGCACTTATTTTCTGTACAAGTTTTCATTTAAAACTTTTCACAAGCAGGTGTGCTCCGAGCAGTATTTCAAAATTGGAAAACAAATCAATTAACCCCCATCCAACTCGACAAACTGGCCCAAGCTAATACACCACCAGCCTGTCAATCCCTATTTGGGAAGGTCTAGAAGGTGTTATTTCATTGTTTTTCTTCCAGCCAGTGTAATTGCTGCCAAAGCAAGCTGTTCATGAAGTGTTCTCTTCATGTTCTTAGGCTATCTCTAATCGGTATGATTTCTACTTGCAGTTCTTTTTTACACTGAGGTTCCATATTTAGCACCTAACTCCTGTTTGACTCTGTGGGTTCCTGCAGAAGTAAAGCACACAGGACACACGTCTTTTCTCCAACATGCTTTGAACTGGTTTCAAACTCGGCCAAATCAGAGAGGAGAGGTTTTTTAAGATAATCAGGTTCCTACAAGTTCTGTGAAAACCAGCAGCTCAGGAGGTGACTCCTTTCCCAAGTAAAAGGCTGAAGCAGCAGCTCTGTATTAGAAAACAGAATCTGCACAGCAACAGGATCCCAGAAATCTGTTGAAAAAGCTTCATTTGAGCTCTCAGTTAACTAAGACATACAACCATAAAACACTGGCTTTATTAGCCTTCAGAAATTCGCTGCTTTTAAATCACTCCACCAGTATTCACAGAGTGTGAAGTGTCTTGCTGAAGCAGACTTGGAAGTCAGTCAACCTGCTTATGATTCTCATCTCCCTCCCTCTTTAATACCTTTTGAAATTAACATCCCTTGTGGTCATCCATCTCGGTATTTTTGACTGTTGACAAATGTCACTTCAGTTTTATTGACCCTGATAAACAACAGTGGAATAAAGGCTGAGAGAAGCTGCCCTCACTTTCTGTCAGTATTTTAATATTGTTTGCCAGCTCTGTAAGTTCACCAAGGGGTCTCATCCAGAGGCTGAACTCACCATGTATCAGCACCCTTCCCAGCCTGGGGCTGTCTCTGCTCACAGACAGTAGCTCCATAAGGCCTCTCTTTGCATATCTCTGTTATTCTACCTTACAGCCTCCTTTAGGTGGAAGATGTTCTGCTCTTCGCAATTAGTCGAGTATTTTGAACACTTCTAATCCTTTCTCTGCATTGTTGCATTTATCCTCATTACCTGTCACCTTTTGTCTGTACTGCTGAAATGCTAGGGCTTGGACAGTAGGCCCAAGCCAGAGTTGACTTATAGATGAATCCTGTATTCCTTGTGAATAGTGTTTCTTTGTGTTAGTTAACTTAGACCACTTAATGTAGAACATAGATGCAGATAACCTTTGCATAGGCTCTATATCTGTCCTAGGCCATGCTGCCTGGGAGATACCTTATAGATGAGCCTTGTATAGCTATATATCTGCCCAAGGCCATGGCACTTTCTGCAAAATATCTTACAGATAACTTTGGTACTGGGTATATAATTGCCCATGAAGTATTGCCAAGGTCATGCCCTGTCTGTAATATATCTTAGGAAACTCTATCACTCATGTCCCAGGCTCTGGCCGAGCCCTGGCCTCAGCTGGTCAGAGGGGAGAACCACCAGGTGTTATCCATACAAACAATAAAAAACTGCAAGTTACTTTTTGCTTGCTAATTTGGCCTATAAAAGCTGGACCCTCCTGCAGTGACTGTCAACACCTCACCTACGAGTGGATGCACTGTGTAGGACTTCCAATTGCTGGGAAAGGCTCTCCAAACCCTCACTGCAACCAGGGGCTCCCCAGCAACTGTGGGTCTGGATGATGATAAAGCATTAGGGCAACTGGTGATGTATCTTTCTTATCACTATTCTTTCCTGTATGTAGTAATGATTAGGTGCATTACCTTTCTTATTGTCTTTGATGTTTGTGCTGTTTGTATTAGAGCTTTCTTAACTACCTTATACATGTATTTATTTATATGATAATATATTTATTATTCATTTCTCTATTATCTTAAAACACCAATAGTAAAATAAGCCTATTCTTTTTGTTGGTGTCTGTGTTATTTCTGTCACCCCTGTGAATGGGCAGAACAACTGCACAATGTTCATTGATGAAATACTTTCATTTAGCATTCAGTAAAGATGGCAGCAATATATCAAATATGAATGCAAAGGCTTTCCCCCTTCTTTTGTTGTTAAGATGATGATGCTTAATTTTCAGAATAGATGTTGCCAGTTAGATATCATCTCTGGGCAGCATATATCACTTCCTAATACAGATAACCAAACAGGCTCCTCCTGCCTCATCATTTGCAAGCAAACACAGTGAAAATTAGATTTAAAGGATTATCAAATTCAGTTCAAAGCAAGAGTCAAATATAGAAGCGAAATAAGGGATTACAGACAACATTCCATCAAAAGCAGCACTTGTCCATGCTAGTGCTCTCCCACTGGGGTACAAGTGTTCCAGCTCATTCCCCAAGATCTGGCTCATCCTCTGGTAAGCATGGACCTCTGCTAACCAGACTGTGATATAACACCTATGGTCCAAATGGTGATAAACTATAAATAAAACACAGAATTGAACATTTCTTTATAACACCCTCACCTCTCCCCAGTCTAAAAACTTTTGACACTCCTGTCTGGGCCCTGCAATTCAAATCACTTCTATTTCACATGAGCTGGCAAAATGATATGAAAGGGTATGACTTCTTTGAAGCACTGACTGCCTGGATTCAAGGGGTTGGTACTGGACATTCCTGTTTAGTTTTCTTGTGCATGCCCCTCAAATGCACTCCTGCAGCACAGCAATTAGTCGTGAGTGCCCCAGGCCACTTCAGCACCTATTACGAATTAAAAGAGAACAAGGAAAGAGAGTTCTGACTTCCATGGTCTGCACCATCACCATCATTATCCTGTTAAAAGAACAGTTGTTTGGGAGAAAAAGGTGACTCAGCTAAGCAGCAGATTTTCTCCACAGTCGAGGAAGGGTTTGACCTCATGCTTGTGCCCCCCTGTTTGCCTCCTCTTCAGCTCACTGCTCTCTCACCCACCCCTCTCCCTACCACTGTCACTCACACTGACCTCCCATCCTCCTTCCTGCTCTGCTCCTCCTGTCCCACCCAGCAGACTTGACCTTTTCTTTCTCCTCCACTGATCTTTACCCTGCTGGGTTTTCCTCCTTCCCTCTTTTATTGGTTTTGTGCACAGGAGGCAACCAGATGCCTAAAGGCCAGACGGCTCCCACCCACAGCCAGGACTAAAGCAGCTTCCATGGAAGTGGTATCATTCACCCATAACCTTAACACAGATGGACCTCTGCAGCTGAAAGGAGGACCTGAGCTGTGGCAGGTCAGCCTGCCCCAATTTCTTTAGGCCAAATGCTCTACAGTGCCTTCATGGAGCTACTAGTGCATACACAGTATTAATTCACTTCACAGCAATTACAGGTGGTTTAATGCATGAAGAACAAGGCTGTATCAAACAACTGGAAGAACACAGGTCATTTCTTTCTGCTCTCTATTCTGCTGAGGTAACACCACTGCTGAAAGGAAGCACTAATGCTGTGAACTCCACCGGGGCTTCCATCACCATCATTAGCTCTGGGGTAGGAAGGTCAATTTCACAGCTTCAGCTTGGGCTGTAAGAGAACAGGTTCAGCTCCTTCTTCCACACATATTGCCTGTGTGACACTGGAAACTTGTGTGCCTTGGCTTCCTGCCCCCAGGAAATGGGGGTGCCTAATCCCAGAGAGAAGAGCACAAGGAGCTATAGCAAGGAACATAAGGAGGTCAGGTACCATGGGAAGGAGCACGACATTACTGCCTAAATGTCTTATTTCAACTGTAGGTGCAAAAGAGGCCCCCACAGAGCCACCAGTAGCTTGCCAAAACAAGGTTTGAAACACGAGTGCTCAAACCCTAACTGAAAATGCTACACTCCAGCAGGGGAGTGACTGCAGAAGATTCCTGGTGCCCAGGCACAGCAGTACTGGCAAACACCACTGCCTTGCAGAGAATGCACCATACCATATCCATCCTCATATCCCTCCTGTCTTGTGAGCAAATGAAAGACAACAAAATTCCTGTAGGTTTAGGCAGAAACACTCTGAGATGGTGTTTTCTTCATGTTCTGTTTACTTGTACCAGTGGTGAACTATTAATATAACACTGTGATGCTGCAAAGCACTGCACTAGATGAGAGCAGCTGTATCAATCACCTTCTGTTTTATTAGCAGGACTCTCAAAAACATATCACAGAGTCTGTGAAGCACACACAGGCCAGCTGATACCCTGACCCACAAACCAAGCCAGCAATGAAACCACCTCAAGGGGCTTGGCCAGTCAAGCTAAACTCCCTCCATTTATTTTTTCACCCAACAAAATTAAGCTATAAATCTTACCTTACTTCCCCTCACAGTCAGGTTTAAAATCATGACACTTGTGTATTTCCTAAGACTGCTGTGACTGGTAGTTAATTACATTTTTAATGTCACTGATCATTTCCAGGAGGGGTTGTTTCTGGATCTCCCTTTTTTTTCTGCATGCATTTCACAGAGCACCTCCTACTTAAGAAATGTTCCTTCAGAGAGGGATAATACCATTCTGCTAGCACTCAGGGGAAGAAGTGACCCGAGTCTTTCCAGGAATTAAACAAGCCAGGAGACATTTTCGTTCTGGCCTTTAAAAAGAGTCAATTGATAATTAATTTTGTTCTCAGAAGGGAACATTTGGGGGAGCACTCTGCAGAGTGAATCAGCCAGGTCTGCCTGAGGAATGGGCTCATCCAGCCACAGCCTCCACAGGAGAGGAATCACCAGGACTGCCTGTGGCTGAGGGGAGGAATGGGGCTCACACTGTGCCTTCTACTGCCTGCGAGGAGTTTTGAATGCCAAGCGACCTCCAACTGCTTGACATAACCTGTGGAAAAGACTCATGAACGAGGCAGCCAAGCACCACCTGTGAGGCACAGCTCCAAGGGAATGATCACAGTTCCATTGTTCTGAGCTCGCCTTGGAGGAACAGCGAAGCACACTGAAGGCAGAATCCCTCTTGAAATCCAGCTGGATTTCATACTGCTGATCACAACCTCTGAGCCCAGCACTTCAGCCAGTTTTCAGTCCACCTCATTGTACACTTACCTAGATTTTACTTCATCAGTTTGTGAGGATACTGTGGGAGGCTCTGCTGAACACCCTATTAAACAGAAGTAACGACCACTACTCTCCCTTCACCACCAAGCCTGTCATATCGAGGTAGAAAGCTGTCAGTATAGCTCAGCATGAATTCCTTTCCATAAATCCATGCTGACTATTCCTGATCGCCTTTTTATCCTTCATTTGTGTGAAAATGGTTTCCAGAAGGATTTGCTCCACTAGCTTCCTAAGGACCAAGGTGAAGCTGACTGGCCTGGATCCCCAGATCCTCTTTCTCATAGACAGAAGTGACATCTGCTTTGTTTAAGTCATCAGGAACATCTCACAGACACATAACCTTTCAAAGATAATCAAGACTGGTCTTGCAGTGACAGCCAACTCCCTCGGCACTTGTGAGTGCAGCCCATCAGTTCCCATGGCACTAGAAAAAACGAAGATCCCTTCCCCTAACCCTGTAAATACACTAGCTCAAAATACATTCCTTTCTGCAAATGCATTTCAAAGAATGCAACTGAAACGCTGCTTGCTGCATGTTTAAAAGGCTCTTTCCGTAACCACACCTAGCAGGTTTTAAACCAAACCATTCTGTGTCTACTCTCACTGCAAAAACCAACAAGCAAGAAGAGCCTTGCTCCTGTTCCTGGAATGTAAGTGCATTAAAACAACCCCCCAAAGCGTCAGGTATATTGCCGTCTCACTTCTGCAAATGTATTTTCAAAAGTACACAACCTCAGTTCTGTTTTAACTGCTAATGCAAAATCCAAAGGAAAGGATTCCCCAGCTTAACTATAAAGTTATTTTTAAAAGGCAAGTTGCACAGTGTGTGCACATTTTAGTGGCTTTTCAGAGACAAGCAAGTAACTGACTGAACACCTCCTCCTCTTTTGAAATGTGTTTCGAGAGTAATTGGAACAGAAGGCTTTGGTACCACAGTCTGCAGCTGAAACAGAGAGACAACAGTGGCAGAAAGTAAACACGACAACCAACGACCACCAGAGAGCACAGAGATGGAGCCACTTTACTTTTATCCCCTCCTCCAGGAAAGATGGAGCGGAGCCTGGCTTTCTTGTTTTTCTCCTCAGGGGCCATGGGAAGTGGTTTTGAGCTGTGGTTTAGTGCTGAAGAATCACGATTGTTGCTGTTCATTCTCAACGGTGGGGCTGGAGGTTTCTCTTCAATATCCAGACTATCGGACATCTTCAGCAGCCCTCACAGCCTCCTGCAAAGCAGAACACAAAGCATGTCTGTCAAGGGATGATAACAAGGCTGGTGGCCTGGGCAGGAAAAGCATTCTGGTGGAATAAGAAAACCTCTGCTACAAGTTTGCTCTGAATAAGGTCACTACTGGCTGCTATAAATAAATTTAGAGGCCAATTCCTAAAAAACACTGTATTACCATTAAAATGAAGCTTTTTCTTTATCCCTGTTACAGGTCCTTTAAGTACGTATTTATAACTTTTACCTTGTAGTTGTTTACAATCCGAATTTTCCTCTAAAACAGACTTCCAAAGTAAAATGATTTACTGAAACTGCCTGGCATTGTAGTCAACCATTTTTATGATGTAAGAAACAAGGTGTGTGTTGAGGGGATATGGGTAGAAAGCATTAAGATCTCTGTTCCTTCCCTGCTGCATTTGGAGGGGGTTAAACCCGAGAGCTTGGGGCTTCAAAAGGAAAGATGCTCCCAAAGGAAATTAATTTACAAGTACCAATTAAAAAACTTTCTTGCACATAAAAAATGAATATATGTTTGCTTTAATACCAATCAAAACCCAAATAGGAAAAGACTGTATTCTGAAAAAAATCCAAATCTTCCTCATTCTGTCCTGCCAGGACACACAGGTCTGTTCCGATTTGTGGCACAGCTTTGAGTAACAGCATCAGAAAGTCCCAAGTATGGTACATTAGCAAGGAGTGGACACAAACAGTCTTGTGTTGACTGCTAAGAACAGGGGTACTGATCTAAGGGAAAAAAACACCCAGAAATTGTTGGAAAACTTTTAAAAGTTGGGAAAACATAGGTCAGGTAAGACTTTACAAAGTCCTAATCTTTCTAGTGTATCTTAAGTACTAAAATTCAAGTCTGGATTAAGCAGGTGATTTAACAAACAAGCAACTCTTGGTAAAATGAACTGTTTTAAGACCTAAAAACACAGTACAATTCAGACAGATCAGATGTGATGTAAGCCACAGTGCATCTTTTTAAAGGTTATGATTCTACAGGCACCTTGTCGTCCAACCCCCTAAATTCAATGTGCCTTTTACGGAAAGTACACACAGACCACTGTGAATGTGTTCTGGATCTCTCCTCATGCTGATTCGCAGATGACACAAGTTATTGCAGTCATCAGCTACTTTCTTAAAGTGAAGTGACTTCTGTTTTTCAGCTGTGGAAGCTGTAGGGGTTTTATTCAGAAGTACCAGCCAAACATGGTGACTGTCACAGGTCTCAAAGCTGTGACACAGGTTCGTGCTGGTAGCAGCAGCACTGCTCTTCCTTTAGTGGGGGAAAGTTGCCATGATTGAGGGTTTTCAGGGTTGGTTGGTTGGTTTGGGGTTTGTTTTCTTTAGAACAGAGGTTAACATTTTCAACAATCACATTTATTTTGATATAACTGTAATATTGCCAGATTTTCTAGCTAGTATATTAATAGGAAATAATCAAATCCACATTGCCTTAACTGACATTACCTTACAAGTAAAAACTAAAGGACCAACTGAAACATTTAGAGACGCTCATTCTAGACTGTTTTCCATGACATAGGCATTTTAGCCTTTGTTACCATTCCCAAATTACCACACATAAAATGACCACTTTTTTTTTAAAGTTGACTTACATTTTAAATTTCATCTAACTTGAGATCCCAAAACATCAGCTCAGAGGTTCAAAGCACATAGCCCATGACAAGAACAATAAATGAAATATACCACCACATCTCTGGTTTGTATCCAACAAAGTCAGGTTCCTGAACATCTGGATCCCCACAGGGTATCAGGGACCTGTCCCAAGGTCACACAGCTGAGAACTCTAGCAACAGCTCGTCCCAAACCTCTCCCTAGTACATACATGGAGCAGGGATCCTGGAGATCTTGTATGAGAACCATTCCCAGCTGACTTCAAGTGGTTTGTGCTAAATTAGTGATCTCAGCTATTCTGGCATCTTTTCCCAGCAGCAAATTAGGGAGAGCTCAAACAACTGGTCCACTGGAAGATCAGTATGGTGTTCACCATCCAAAGCAGAGTATATTCATAAGCCTAGTACATACATGGAGCAGGGATCCTGGAGATCTTGTATGAGAACCATTCCCAGCTGACTTCAAGTGGTTTGTGCTAAATTAGTGATCTCAGCTATTCTGGCATCTTTTCCCAGCAGCAAATTAGGGAGAGCTCAAACAACTGGTCCACTGGAAGATCAGTATGGTGTTCACCATCCAAAGCAGAGTATATTCATAAGCCTTTG